TGTTTATATGTTTACATTTTCAGGGATCCTGATGGTTTGTTTCGTTTTGTTTTGTTTTAATGGGAGAGGTTTTTGCTATAGGGCATGCGCCCTCACCAGAAAGACAGAGAGAGACAGAGAGATAGAAAGCAAGAAATCAACCCCCAGGGGAGATGGCCATGCCACAATCCCTTCTCCTCTATTCTCCTCTCAGGATCTTGGGCACACATGCACACGCGCCCGGTGTGATTTTAAACCATCAGGTCCGGGACTCAAACCACAGTCAACTACTCTGGAGTCCAGCGACATAGCCAGTATGCTAACTGCTGGTCCCCCCTTTTTAATATGTTTAAATTTCAACTTCTTTTATACATTCAATCACATATGTCACTTAACCTCCAAATGCATTCAAGTTAACGGCAAATTTATTAAAAACACTTAAATTCTGTAAAATTCTCAAATGCAATCTGGGTCACATTATATCCTACTGAGCATCAAATGCTGATATTTAAAATTTAAATGCTTTCTGCATAATGCATGATCAGTGACCAATGAGCAAAAGTGAGTTTAATTAATAAACTCATCTTGTGTCATCCTGAAAATAGAAGATTTGAAATTTGATGTTTCATTTTACATTTGTTGATTGAATTTTTTTACTTTAATAATTATATGTTCTATGCAATATCTACATTTGTTAGAAACACTTTTAGAGCAGTTTGCTAGATGCTAGGGTTATGATGTTGAATAAGTAACAATCTGATTTCAGAGAATTTGTAGGCTAGTAAAATGGGCCACTTTTGTAGGTAAATAAGTATATGGTTACAAACTGAAATATTAGGTTGTTGGGAAAGTCATGATATATTTTTCTGGGTTTGTATGCCAAAATGTGTTTTAACTTTCCTGACAACCCAGGAGAAATCTGTAGTGTGGTGTCCAGTGGGCTGGGTACTGAGAAATGATCAGGATGAAAACTACGCCATGGGGGACCAGCAGTTAGCGTAATGGCTATGTCGCTGGACTCCCATGTAGTCGACCGCGGTTTGCATCCCGGACCTGGTGGCTTAAACTCACGCCGGGTGCGTGTGCACGCGTGCCTAAGATCCCAAGAGGAGAATGGAGGAGAAGGGATTGCGGAGTGGCCATCCCCCCTGGAGGGTGATTTCTCGCTTTCTATCTCTCTGTCTCTTTCTGTCTTTCTGGCAAGCGCACGCGCCCTATAGCTAAAAACCTCTCCAAAAAAAAAAAGAAATAAAGAAATAAAACTACGCCATGGAACCATCACTGCTTCACCTGCATCACTTGCTACTACTCATTCTCTTGCTCCTCTAATATTCTTCCTCTCTGAGGACCAGACTCTTCGCTTCAGCTTGGGTGAGAGTGGGAGAAATCTTTTCTCTTTATTTTGTTAGTTGCTGAAGTGAAAGAAAGGATTTCTGTTTTATGGGGACTGTTCTTTGTCACATCTGAAATAATAAAAGTCCTAACACACTCTATAAATACAAACAATAAATGCAATGGTTTTATTTCCAGAGATGGGAAAATTTTAGAAAATATTTTATATGTAAATATGATTTTCAGTAATATTGTTATTCTTTATCTGTTACTCATTAGCCAAACACCAACATTGGGAGCTCACAGTGTAGCAGTCCATTTGCTGCTAAAGTTATGTGACCTTGACACTTGACAACTCAATCAATTTACACCTTATATTAGACGAAGTCAACATATAAGCAGCATTTTAGAGATAAAAAGCTCCAGATATTCAAATCACATTCAAACCTGTGTGCAAAAATCAATTTCTTAACATAATACTTACAGAATCACAATATTTTTTCGATATTATAAATTAGAGTATTCCATGATTATGGATTCAGAAAGATTAAGATATTTGACTTGTCTGTTTCATGAAAACTTGTTTATATAAATACAATATGTTTTAAGAAACAAAGAATACTAACTTCTCTAATACCATTCTGTTAAACCATTAAACCACCCCCAAGTGAATTCCCAAATGTTTTTCCTAGGTGGGTAGAGAGAATCTTTTAGGTGGGCTTGCTGTAGTCAGTGATCTAAGAGAATGTAAAGAGAAAGAAGCTAGGAGGAAACTCAACTGAAAATTCTAAAGGAGTTCGCCAATACATATTTATTTATTTTTAAAGTTGAATCACAAATTATAATGTTATGATATGTTGAAATCGGTAAGTGGTAAAATATGAGTAAGATGGGATTCTTCTGGTAATCTTTTGGATGAACTCTTTTGCTCTCATTCATTTTTTTCAGTCAAGAGTTACTTAATAATTTCTTACTAAATACCACACATATAAATGTAGGATTAGACCAATGCATATAACTATTTAAGAATTCAATTTCTGTGTGTAAGTCCTTACTAATCCTTAATTGTGATCATGTATTTTAGGTTGGAAAGAGCCTGTAGGTGGCACAGTGGTTAAAGTGCTGAACTCCCGCATGGCCACCCATGGTCTAAGTCCTGGACCTGGAGGCTTAAAATTCACACCAGGTGTCTGTGTATGCATGCCTAAAATTTCAGGAGGATAATGAGGGAGAAGGGATTAGAGTTGGCCACCGCCCTGGGGGCTGATTTCTCACTTTTCCTAATACTGTTTTCCCAGGCAAGTGCACATGCCCTATGACAAAACAAAACAAAACAAGAAAAATTTTAAAAAATGCATAAAAAATTTCAAAACCAGAACACTAGCATCCTAGTTGTCATCCTAGTTTTCCTGCAGAAAAAATAAAAATTAATTACAAAGAAATCATAGATAGACTGAATTTAATGTGGTGAAAGATATTTTGATGGAGTAAATAACTGTTGTAAATTAAAGTCTTATGTGGCTCAAATAATATTTCTTACATATAAAAACAGAAGAAAAATTAGGATTTTATAATCATGATCATGATATAAATGAATAGCTATCTCATCAACAGTAGGTACAGGTCAACTTAGAGATCAAAACTATTTTTTAAGAATTATTTATTTATTTATCATAATAAAAATTATTACTATTTTTGGGCCAGCAGGTGGTGTAGTGATTAAGGCCCTGGACTCCCATATGATCGACCATGGTTCAAGTCCCAGACCTGGTGGCTTGCTTTCCTACTCTATCTCTCTCTGGTGAGCACATGTGGCCTGTAGTAAACTAATAATAATAATAAATAATTTTTAAAAATTATTATTATTTTTAAATTTGCTGTAGGGCATGTGCATTCATAGAGAGAAGGGGAAAGAGAGAAAGCAAGTCACCAGTTCTAGGACTTGAGCTGTGGTTGACCATATGGGAATCTGTCACTTTAACCGTCATGCCACTTGCTGGTCCCCAAACTTCTTTTATTTGGTTTGACCAGCAAGTATGGAATTTTTGCTTATGGTTTTTATGAAATTATTCTGCTGAAATCTTGTTATTTTATAGCTCTAACTAGAATTGCAATATTAAACAAGTTATCAACATTTGACAGATTAAATGCAAGACTGAATATGAGTATCAACTACTACACTTACACCCAGCTTACGACTTCTTCCACATAAGTGGTCTTAAATAAATATGTGATACACAGGACCAACAGATAGTGTGATGACTATGTCACTGGACTCCTACATGGCCAACTGTGGTTTGAGTCCCAGACCTGGAGGCTTAACATTCACGCCAGACACATGTGTATATGTGCTCAAAATCCTGTGAGGAGAATGGAGGAGAAGGGATTGCTGCATAGATATTCCCCCTTGGGGGGAATTATAGACAGTAGACAAATACTACTGCTTTTTCTCTCTTTCTGTCTTTTTGGCGAGTGCACATGCCCTATGGCAAAATCTCTCTAAAAATAAATAAGTAAATATGTGATACATGAATGAATAAAGGTCACTATCTAAAACAAATGAACAAGTCTTCCTTCTCATACTATTTAATGATAATTCAATATTTGACAAATTATTATTTTTTAAATAATTCTTTAAAAAAATTCACAGGGACCAGCAGGTGGCATAGTGCTTGGGGCACTGGACTCCCACATGGTCGAATGCAGTTTCAATCTTGGACCAAACAGCTTGAAATTCACTTGATGGTCGTTTGTGCGTGTGTGTGTGTGTGTGTGTGTGTGTGTGTGTGTGTTTGTGTGCGCGCATGCGCCTATATCCCAAGGGAAATGGAGGAGAAGGGATTGTAGCATGGCCACCCTCCCTGGGTAGGGGATAATTTTTTACTTACTGTCTCTCAAGTGCAAGCACCCGACAGCAAAAATTTCTCATAACAAACAAACAACCCGAAAATTCATGAACTATACTAAGTGAAGTGTGGAATGATATATTATTTTTATAAAATTATTAGGCCTGCATCTTTTAAAATTCTAATTAATTAAATGCATTGAAATATTTAATATATTTTTTGTGTTTATATCCTGTTTCATTATAGAAAAATTTTGAACAAAGGGGTGGGGAGGATAGCAAAAATTACCCCAGATAAGAGAGAAGTTTCAAATTGAAACTTACTTGTTCCTTCATGACATAAATTGTTGCCCAGGCCACTCTGAGGGTGACATGTATCAAGGCAGTACAGGTAATGACATCTTGGACTCAAAGGCTTGAACTTGCAATTGATTGCTTGGGGCTTTATTCTCATATTAGTCACTCAGTGACCTTCAATGAATCTTTTTATGTCTAGATGCCTCATCCATTTCAAAAGATTGATAATATTGAAATAATTTACAAAGAATTCTGAGTTATTCCAATTCAAATGATATCCCATAGTTAGTCAACAGTGAGTAAAATCTTGTTTTGGAGTTTTTATCTTATGCTTTAATTTGGTTTAATATATATTTTTTATCTCAGTAAGCCTCATTCTCAGCAGTTCCTCGAATAACAGTGTTGCATTTCTTAACAAAAATTCTGACTGCCAAAGACAATGGTCTTTGTGTCTGGTTTTATAATACATCCTCCCCTTCTTATTTTGTTTGTATGTTTTTCTAAACTAGTATTTCATAGTCATTTATCTTTTTTTTTTCCCCCTAAGAGCCTGGGAAAGCTCCTGAAATCAAACAAGAGACTGTAAAAGTTGCAGCACAAGGTGAGCAATTAAACACTTAAAATTCTATTGCTTAAAAAAAAATTATTTATCTATAGCACTTTATTGACAAAAGCAAAAGCTGTTTATTGCAGAATAGCACCATCTGCTGGTTTATTCCAGAAAACGTTATGTTGCTGCGTGAAGATAACACATTACAAGTATTGATTTAGTAATCAGAGGAAGCATAACTTAGAGTAATGCCAAATTATGGAGACATTGTTGAAGGACCCAAGAATAAGTATCTTGGCTCTACCTTTTCCTCATTGAGCTTTTACACATAGTCCTAAAAATAAGCTGTAGATCCATGATGTAGCTATACAATGATATACATACTTTCCATTGTTTTCAGTATACTTTGTAATTTGTATCATATTTAAAAAATAAGTCTGAAGGTTGTTAAATTACTATTACTTTATATATACCCAAAGTGCAAATTCAGGTTCCAGACATGGCTACAACAGAAGTACCCTAGTTTCCATGGGCCATCTACGAAATCAGTTTTCTTACTAATATCTCTGGAGCGTCAACATTACTGTGCATGGTATATTCTGAAATCATGAGCAGTAATTTGATGAAAACACATGGGAAGAATATAAGTTTGTCATCGATGAAAACTTTATGGAATATGCTGGAAAAGAAAAGGCAAAATATTTACTGAAGATCTTTATTGTTACTTCTCTGCTACTTTGTACAATATCAAGCAATGAAAGAGATACATTTAGGCAGTGCTACACTTGTTTCTGAGTACCCTGCTTGCAGACTCCTTAGCATATGATGTGATATAGGATAAAATGTATTGTATGTGACCAAGGTTTTTCTGTTATATTTAATCCTAGACCCAAATCTATGCAAAATCATCTCAATAAATGTTAGTAAAATGGATTTGCTAAATTCCACTTGACTCAGTGGTGTTCTTTATGAGCAATATATGCTAGAATGGTGGAGAGGTAGCATGCTATTGGATTGTTGGGAAAGTCATGACACATTTTTTTGCATAGAAAAACAGAAAATACACCACCTAATAGTTTTTAGTTTTCATGTTGATTACCAATGGAATAAAACATGTTCTTTAGTAAAGTTCTTACAGAGAATGTAATAGATTTTATGAGAGGTAAGAAGATGAGGCAAACACCTTTGTTGGTAGTGTTTTTTTTTTTTAACACATTAAAATGTAGTTTTGAGCAAATAAATGACTACCAGTTTAAGGAATCATTGCTGTTAATGTGTTATGCTCACATAAGAATATATAACCATCTTAGGCACTTTTTGTTTTGACTGAGGTTTCTGAAAATTGGGGTATGGATGTAGAATTATGACCTTAACGCAGAAATTTAGCATTACTTCTATATTAGAGGAGTTCAAGGGGAATAAATTCAGGAAATATCTGGAAATAGCTTCAAGTTTGAGCTAGAGGTTATGAGCTCTTTGTTTTGACATTCAAACTACGTTGGACAAGGGAATATCCTTTGGGATAAAGGAGTTCTTGCTGAGTGAACAGTAACCTAGAGTTTTAAGGTATTATTGCACCCATACTTATAAGGAAATGAAATGTAATTAGAATTTAGGAGGAAGATCAATCCAGTTCATAGATATTACATAATAAATTATACTGAATGAATAAAATATAAACCCAAGTTAGAAAGGAAGAAGAGAAATAAGAAATTATGTTCTAATCAGGTGCAATGATGACTAAAATGCCTGAGAAGGGAAGGATTTCATACTCAAACTCATCTTTGACCTGATTGACGTGCACCAGATGCTTGCTGGGAAAAACTATGCTGCAAGTTGTAAAGATGTACAATGATTAAATGTAAAATTTGAAAACTGATTAATAAGGATCACCACACTGTGGTTAAGCAGTGTGTAGAGAGCCAGATCCCACATGGCTGACCACAGTTTGAATCTAGCCCTAGCAACTTTAAGAACATGCCAGACACACATGTATTCATGCCCCAAGACCTGGTGGAATGGAGAAATGGAGGAAAGGGATAGGTGAATGACCACACTAACTATTTCAGTCTCCATTAGAATGTAAAAATCAAGAACCAAGTTACTGAGAACTATGTCTACTCAGGAAATTCAGGAATCAACCCATCACATATTCCTTTTAAACAGATTTGAAACAGGTGAATTGAACCGAGGACAGGGAGTTGGTCACATAGAACACAAGTTACAAAACCACTCTGAAAACAGTTAAATCCCAACATGCTGATTTTGATTAGTGTCTGGGTATGGAATACAACTTACTAGATCACAGGGCTATCCAGATGACTACAAATAAAAACCATCTACCTTTAAGAGATCCAAGAGAAACCATTGTTATTTATGATGGAATACATCAAATACTTTCATTCAACTCTTGTTTGTTGTCAATGTAAAATTGAAATAAAACTACCGGGAACCAGCATTTAGCGTAACGGCTATGTCGCTGGACTCCCACATAGTCGACTGCGGTTCGTGTCCCGGACCCAGTGGCTTAAAACTCACGCCAGGCGCGTGTGCGTGCATGCCCAAGATCCCGAGAGGAGAATGGAGGAGAAGGGATTGCAGCGTGACCATCCCCTCTGGAGGGTGATTTCTCGCTTTCTGTCTCTATGTCTCTCTCTGTCTGGCGAGCGCACGTGCCCTATAGTGAAAACCTCTCCAAAAAAATAAAAAATTTAGAAAATTTAAAAAAACTATCAAAGAATGTAAGCATGGGAAAGAAGAACATGTGTGTCCATTTACACATACATGTCTACATCCCATGTGCATATATAAGGATTATTATTCTTGGCTTGTTTTAGAAATAAATAAATATAAACTTCAATGTAGTTACAAAAGATTTTGCTAATTCTGGAAGGACTTAAGTTTTAGTCTTTCTTCTCTATAGAATTCCTAAGAAATAATTGGTTTGCAAAGTGTATTCATATTCTCAGCCCCTCTTATTACATTGCTGAAGACCTTAATTACATTCCTTTCGAAAGTGAGTTTATTTATTTATTTTCCTTAAAATGTACTTATCTATTTCTTTTTTTTTTTTTTTTTTTTTTTTTTTTGTTGTTGTTTGGTTTTGGTTTCTTTCTTTACTTTACTTCTATTTTTTTTTTAGATTTTTGCCATAGGGCTCAGAGAGGGAGAGAGAGCGCACTTCTGATAGGGTTCTGTGATCCATTCCCAGCTGCAACCAGCCTTGGAACATGGGCACGCACACCCACAGGTTCTCAGGGAGGTCTCCCAGTGTGAACCTCCTCAAGGGAGCACACAGACAGCCCAGGTTTTACTGCTGCACCATTGGCCAGCTCCGGGGTTTATCGTTAAAGCCTAGGCTTCAGGGCTGTTCTCCCTCCAGAGTCCCTCTGAGGACCCTGGGCTAGACCACAGTAATTTTTGATTTGTAAATTTGTTTTGTCTTATTCTGTCTTCCTTTAAAGAGTCCAATCCCATCCTTTAATCCAGCTTGCTTTGGAGAGGATAAGATGGAAATTGTGGGAAATATTACGGAGATTATTATAGGAGTACAGCAAACAAAGCAAAAAAAAAAAAAAAAAAAAAGAACTTTTTGCAGTATTTAAAAAGACAATACCAATTTGCCTTTTCCCCTTATTGTACAAACCCTATGCAAAATGTGAAAATTCATGTGCATTCTAGAACTAAAATGTTTACTTACTAGGTGATTTTGAAAATTATGAGCTTTTTGGAAGAACATTTTTATTTGCAAAGTAAAGAACTAAGAACAAAAAGGACTATTAAGCCAAACTCACAGAAATTGATGAAATTATGCTTTATAGCCTTGAACTCTCTTAGGCAGTGTCCCTATGCTGTAATTTATTTTAATTATTATATTTATTGCTGTGCTCATTATATATTGGAATAGACAATTCCTTAACTTAAACTCATTATTTCTTCTATGCATTTTATAATTTTCAGTTTAAACTACATTAAGAAAAAGCAAATGTTGGGACCAGCAGTTAGTGTAATGGTTATGTCGCTGGACTTCCATGAAGTTGACTGTGGTTTGAGTCCTGGACCTGGTGGCACGCATGCGTGTGTGCCCAAGTTCTCGAGAAGAGAATGGAGGAGAAGGGATTGCGGCATGGCCATCACCCCTGCAGTGTGATTTCTCACTTTCTGTCTCTTTGTCTCTCTCTGTCTTTCTGGTGAGCGCACATGCCCTATAGCAAAAAGCCTCTCCAAAATAAATAAATAAATAATAAAAATTTTTAAAGAGAAGGGAAAATAAAAACAAATGTCACAAAGTAGATTTATTTGTAAATTTACGCTCCCCTACAAAAGGAAGAATATATGGATAACGTTTGGAAAGTAGATAAATACAACCTGTAATTCTTTTGTTCCTGATTTTTAGACCTAATTGTGGTACTTACTCTATGCATGGACATGTGCACATCACTTTAATGTATTTGAAGCTTATCTTCTTGCTCTGGGCTGCCTGTTTCACAAGACTGTGGTATAAACAAAGAAAGTGTACCTGAATGTACTTGGCAATTGTAGCCCAGATAAATGTACAAAGTAGTTTCGGTGTTGGTTATCAGAGATCCCCAACATTCTATCCCATTGAAATGTGGTGATGTACATAATATCAGAATCAGCTAATGTGGCCTAAGACTTCTCTAGGTGGGGAAAGCATATCCTGTGGGGAATGGCCATGCCCTAATCCCTTCACCTCCATTTCTCCCTCCTTTCCAGATGTTGGGCATACATATACATATGCCCTATGTGTTTCTCGAGTCACTGAGTCAGAGCTTTGAACTGTGCAGTCAACCATGTGGGATTCAGCCTCCTTAACTGCCATACCAAAGGCTGGGCTTACATATTCTTTTCATTCTTGTCTTTCTTTCCTCTCTCTCTGCTATCTCTATTTTTGAGTTCTAAAATACCTTCATATGAAACAGTTTTAAATAATACTCTTATTACTTATTTTGGACTAATTAGTGCATAGGTGACCACTGCATTTACGAATACATGGAACTCATTCAAACATTCTGACAAGTATCTCAAGGAATGGTATTTTAGTATGTTTTAACACTGTTTTCCTTCCATTATTTCAGCAGCAGCTAAAAAGGATGAAAAGAAGGAAGGTAGGGGTTTTATTTGTTTGTTTGTTTACTTGTGTTTTATTTATTTATTTAGATTTTTGCCATAGAACTCATGTGCTCACTGGAGAGAGACAGAGAGAAAGAAAGTGAGAAATCACTCTGACAGGGGGGATGACCATATTGCAACCCCTTCTCCTCCACTCTCCTCTTGGGTTTTTGAGCACATGTGCACACGTGCTGGCATGTTTCTCAAGCAGCTGGGTCTGGGATGTGAATTGTGTACTCAGCCATGTGAGATCTAGTGCCTTAAACAATATGCCACCTGCTGGATCCAGGAAACTATGTTTTATGCAAAATCCCACTATGCCTTCTATGAGATTTATTCAATATTTACCAACATTCAGAGATTTTAATATTGCCCTGTCTACATTACCTTTGGATAACCGGATCTATTATGTGCTCATATTTTGCATACATGTTTTTGATCTCACCCCACACGAAAGCGTGAGATGCTTTTTAAAAAGTAATTTTAATATAATCTTTCTCAAGTCATAAGAGCTAAAACATAGCCTCTCAATATCCTAGGCTTGCTATGTTGTTGATAGTTTCATCAAATTTCAAAATTATGTGAAATCCAGATCCTGTTCTCTTATAGTAACTCCTTGCATCTCAAATATAGACAAGCAACTGGTGGTACCTAGCTCTATTAGGCTACAAATAACTTATAGTTCCTCCCCTGTATACCACCTCTTCTTCTCAGAAAGCCATGACAGTGTGTGTATACACACACACACACAAACACACACACACACACACACACACACACACACACATCGTGTCAAATAAAAATTACACTGGATAGAATCAAACAGGCAAGGAAGATTTATTTGACTATTGCATTAGAACTCAAGTCAATTAATAGAGGAGAGAGATTGAACTTAATTCCACTGAAACGGAAAGTCCCAGACTTTTTAAGCACCTATTGATTTAGCAGAAAAGTACTAGAAGATGGTGGGTGGTCAGTGTCATTAGGCAGTCTGTATTTCCTAATTGGTACTTATCAAAGTTAGGCACCTGCCCCCTGCCCCTGACAAAGACTTCAAGAAAGGGAAACTATCTCCTTTGATGATTACATTTCAAAGGGATAGCTCTTGGGTCTTTGTTAAAGGAGTTCCTAGGTTGTAGAATATTTGTATCTCAAAGGAGCAGAGAAAGAATTTATAATTGAAAGATTTCTAAACTAAATACTCCAACAAAGGGGAAGCCAGAGGCCATAGTCAGGAAGAAACCTACTTGGAGTTTAGTTAAGCTGAGGAGAACAAATTGTCTTGGTCTGTGATTCTGTTTTTAGGCATATTTTCTTAGTAACAATACCACCTAGAGGCCCAGCTCTGCTAGTGCACATGGGACGCTGCTGCTTGAACGGTGAGGGCTCATTAGAAGCCCAGGTTTGTTCCGTGTCTGTCATAAAACAGCCAGGGCAGTGGCCTACAGTCTCAGCTACCTGGGAGGCAGAAACAGGACTGAGAGCTTGAAGAGACAGTAGGAAACAAAGTGAGAATCTGTCTAAACTGGGAATGGTGGCATGCCCACCTGTTTATGTTGGACTGGGACCTCATATCTGCCTCAGCCACCTAGCAGTACTCTTCTTGCACTACCATGACTGGGCCACAGATTTAGGCTTTCTATTCCTTCCCCATTTGTTGTACCTGTCATATTTTTGTTCTGTTGTTTGTTTGTTTGTTTGTTTCTGGTATATGTACCTCCAGGGACAAGTACCAGAGAAAGAACCTCCCTATCGGGAATGGTCACACCAAAATCCTTTCTCCATCTCTCCCTCTTTGGGATTTTGAGCATGCAGGCACGTGCACCCCACAGGTTTTCAAGCTGCTTAGTTGGGGAGTTGAACTGTGCAGTTGGCTACGTGGAACCTGGCTGCCTTAACCACCTCAGCATACAGCTGGCCTTTTTTTTTTTTTTTTTTTCCGCCAGAAAGACAGAGACAGGAGACAGAAAGCAAGAAATCATTCCCCAGGGGGATAGCTATGCCACAATCCCTTCTCCTCTCCTCTCCTCTCAGGATCTTGGGCACGCATGCACAGGATCTTGGGCACACATGCACATGCTACTGGCATGAGTTTAAGCCACTGGGTCTGGGACTTGAACTAAGGTTGACTATATGGGAGTCCAGCAACATAGCCATTATGCCAACTGCTAGCCCTGAGCCGATGCTTGTTTTACATTTCATAGAAATCACAATATCATTTACTTTATTTCAATAAGTGCAGTCATTTACATTACCATAAGACTTTACATTGCTTTTTATACTATTTTTTAAACAATTTATGTCTAATATATTACTGAATTCTTCATTCTTTGGGGAGAAAGACACCTATTTTATGCCAGCACTAATTATTTTCAGAGAATATAGGAAAATGCGCCAGAAAGACAGAGACAGGAGACAGAAAGCAAGAAATCATTCCCCAGGGGGATAGCTATGCCACAATCCCTTCTCCTCCATTCTCCTCTCAGGATCTTGGGCACGCATGCACAGGATCTTGGGCACACATGCACATGCTACTGGCATGAGTTTAAGCCACTGGGTCTGGGACTTGAACTAAGGTTGACTATATGGGAGTCCAGCAACATAGCCATTATGCCAACTGCTAGCCCTGAGCCGACGCTTGTTTTACATTTCATAGAAATCACAATATCATTTACTTTATTTCAATAAGTGCAGTCATTTACATTACCATAAGACTTTACATTGCTTTTTATACTATTTTTTAAACAATTTATGTCTAATATATTACTGAATTCTTCATTCTTTGGGGAGAAAGACACCTATTTTATGCCAGCACTAATTATTTTCAGAGAATATAGGAAAATGATTTTGTTCCATCTACCATGTTTTATCCTCTGTTCCACCATTCTCATTGAGCTTTATTTTCATTTTTACTTCTAAATGACCATGTGCTCTCCACAATCTTCCTCTGCTATCCATATTTGCTGTGTTCTGGGTTCCAAAGATTTCTCAGTGGGGATCACATGACTACCTGAGCAGCTGGAAATCCTGTTTTATACTGGAGTCAAACCAACAGCGATGACCATTGAACTGTCCACTATGTACTTTCAGCTGCTGTGCTACAGGGCTCTCTCTCTTAATAAAAGTGGTCATAGCACATGATTCATAAATTAGACAGATGACAAAGATGATATTCATCATGCTTTTATATGAACTCCTTTACATAATATTTTTCTATATACTTAAATTTCCAGCTTTCCCGATTAGCATAATTACTCATAAAGGAAATGAAGGGGAAATTGTTTGCAAAGCACTTATATTTTAGATAGCAAATTTAGCCTACTCAGTTATATTCCTGAATAAGAATTGAATAGCAAGAATACTCTTAGATTGGTTTTCAGGGTGGGCGTTAATTAAGAACACTGGAGTCTAAAATTCTTTTTACTACACCAGGCTAGTCTTTAATATGTTTACTGAATAGTACATGTTCTGTTCCAGGGACCTCTTATGCTTAAAATCAAGATATGTTTTTCTCTTATAAATGAAACGTATCAGGCCAGCAGGTGGCTTGGTGGTTAAGGGCATTGGACTCCCACATGGCTGACCTTGGTTTGAGTCCCAGACCTAGTGACTTGCTTTTTGACTTTCCCTTTCTCTCTCACTGTCTTTCTCTGGTAAAATTGAAAAAAAAATAATAATAAGTACAATTTTTTTTAATACAGAAGTTCTTCCTTTAAATAAAAATAGTCAAAACACTGTCTACTGACCTCTGAATACAAGCTGACTCATAATATATTAGTTTTAAATACAATGATATGTTTGTCAGTAACTGGGCCAGGTTCAGAAGCCAACGTTGACCTGTTTCCTTTCCATTACAATAGGAATAATTGAATATCTTTATTGGAAGGGTATTGATTACTAGAGAGCACCATGCAGTTCACTGGAATGCCTTAGATTGAATAAATGAAGAAACCATAAGCCAGCTTCTCAGAAACAGATGATATATATGTTCAGTTTGGTTTTCTGTGAAGACACTGTCAGCTGCTGTAGGCACAATGAAATCGCTATGCAAATTACATATGAATATCTCGTTCACATTTTTTTCTATTTTTTTAATTCCAAAATTTTTCTCATTTCCTATCTCATTGTAATGCTCATTCTCTCAAAAAGAGCATAGTTTCTCTTTAAGTCTCATATTAAAAATGTATCATGTAATGAATCCATTTTGTTGAAAATTATCTTAATATTTATGGAAATATTATTATGAGCTAATCAGTTGTTGTTTTATCATATATGTTTCATCAATAATTTGTCTTTGTGTTTTCAGATTCCAAGAAAGCCAAAAAAGCTGAAGAAGGTACTAGAATTAATTTCTCTTTCTTTCTTATGCTGGATAAATCCTAAAATAGCATTATTTCTTACAAAAAGCAACATAGAAGAAAAATTCTATATGGGAGCACAGAGAGACAAAGATTAAGATTGAGAGAAAACATCGAGCTTTTCTTGAAAGTCTTACTATTAATATAGAAAAAATATTGGTAAAAATAAAAAGTAAGTAGTAGATATCTTTACCTTTCATAATAATTATTTTCAAAAGAATCTTTGCTTGACAAGGACTTGAACAATGTCCAGTCTGAAGAATTTATTTTATTCGAAGCATATATTAATTTTAGCTACATTGTCATCAGTTAGGAGCTGAATTATTCCTTTAAGTCCTGTCGGAATCATAAATCATTTGACAAGTATACCTGAGTCTTCTGAAGTTCTTCACATGTGTCTATGTATACAATGAATTTATGTATTCATATGTGTTTATTTAAGAAAACATCAGGTATAAATAGTTTAAATGGTTAAATAGTACAATCCTAGGTTAATTCATTGTCAAATAATTTTTAATCAAATTATAGAAACATCTAGGATAATCAGTAGTATCTCAAAACAATGCTCACTGTGAAATCTAAGGGGAGAAAATCAGAAGGAGATTTTGGAGAAATTAGTTTAATCAGTGTGTTGGATAGTAAAAAAAAAAAAAATAGGTTTTTGCCATAGGGAGTGTGTTCTTACTGGAGAAAGACAGAGAGAGACAGTGAATGAATTTCATTCTCCTTCCATTCTCCTCTTGGGATTCTGGGGACACACACACACACACACACACA